CGAACATATATTCCTACTCCAACACTGTATAGGAAACTCCTGAGCTTAGCTGAGGAGAGCGAACATATATTCCTACTCCAACACTGTATAGGAAACTCATGAGCTTAGCTGAGGAGAGCGAACATATATTCCTACTCCAACACTGTATAGGAAACTCATGAGCTTAGCTGAGGAGAGCGAACATATATTCCTACTCCAACATTGATTATCAGTATTTTCGCCTCTTTTTCAGAGAGCTCTCACGGATGAGATCACGTCCTCACATGTTGTCCTATCACGACGGCTACGGATATTAGGTGGAATATTTTTCTCCTATACGGAGTCCTATCTGCGTTTTCAGGAGATGGCAATGGAAACTCTAATGCTGGGATGGCTAAGGCTCCAGTGGACCACGCGGCTGATGTTGGTGTGTTTTCGCTCAGATTTGGTCAGGAAAATTCGACGGAAATTAGCGAGGAAAATCAGGTGAATGCAGATTTTCATTTTATTGGGGAAAAATTATATTTTTTTGTAAACTTTTTCTTATCGGTAATCGGTTTTTGGAAGAAAAATTTTTAGCAAAATATGAGTTTCGTTTGAAATTCTGAAATTTTTCGTCGGGAATCGGTTTTCTGGTGGGAAAATTAAGATTTTTTCGTTGAAAATTCAGAATTTTTTCCCTGTGGTTTTTTTTCTTAGATTTTGGTAAGAACTGGGCTGGGGTTTAAACTGAAAAATAGAAGAGAATATGAGGAAACTACAGGAAAACGGTGGGGATGGAAATTTTGGTGATTATAATTTTGTGGCGCAGTGAAAACCCCTCGAGGAAGTACTCGCGATACAGCACACTACGTGACATGATCATGCAAGCTCCTGTTAAAGCGGGACTACCTCCGGAGCAGCTGAGCGAAGGTGAAAATTAGGAAATGGAAAATTTTTTGGTAGATTTTTTTTATTTTTTGACAGAAACGCTAAGAAGAGAAAGAATATTGCATCTCGTGAACCTTTGCCTTGATTTCGATCCAACGACGAGAATTACTCCCGCACAGGTGAGAAATTTTTTTGGGAAAAATTTAGAAAGTGATTTTTTGTAGGCGTTAACACATCCGTTATTTGTTGACGATGGGAGACCGGGAGCAGGGTTACCTTCGAATTGGCTACCCAGAAGTGCAGAGTTATGTCTGATGAACTTAATAGACGATACGACAAGTTTCTTGCATAACTCCAGTGTAAACCACCAAGATGAGTTATGGAGATTTTTTCTCCTCGTATAGAGTCGCCCGGTAGCAGACCTGACTGAGTCGGCGCCATCGACGCCTTATCGACAAGGACGAGGAGGGTATTCTCCCTCGGGGGGAAGTGCTGGGGGTGGTAGCAGGCTGAAGGGAAGCGAATCTATATATTCTAACGCGTCCTCACCAAGCCAAGCTGGAGCTGGCTCTTCGAATCTACGGGGGTTCCTTAACAATCAGCCGGTCCATGTTGGGAGTGCTCCAGCGGTGAGCATGATGGTGCAGGGAAACCGGCAAGGTGCGATGGTGTTATGGTTGTTGGTGAAGTGGTATGAGTTGTTGATGATGGTCAGTTACGGTGGAAGAGCAAGGCATGGGGAAAAATAACAAAGCTGGTAGCGGGAATCGAACCTGGGTCGTCCGCATGAAAGGCTGCTGGTGTCTAGGTATTCCCCTACCGGACGATACGATGCCTGTTAGTTATCGACCGGCACTCCATAAGGTGCCTGATAGTTACTTTCAAGGGTTTATTCATGGAAAGTGGGGAAATCTTGGGGGGGGTCTTATAGTGTGGGAAAATTATGGTTGTGGAATGAGTAATAACAGTTTTGGAAATACAGCGTGATGAACCAAACGGTCATGAATAGCACGGAAACCAATGACCCCATACCACGTGCTTCACGCGCTATTCGCAGCTCATATGCGTTTTTCGCCGACTTAAATGTGAAATATGTTTTTCACTACAGTGTGCTGAACCAAACCGTTATGCAAAGCAGTATTTTCAACTTAGCCCTCGAAAGTCAACTTTGAGTAATATCAACATGATAACAATGTGAATCGATTGATGACACCAACGTTTGAGAGGCGTTACGTAGTCTATAGTCGTATGAAAGCATCTCGGAAATCTACATATACATAACTGTTTGGAATAGTAGTATTTTAGATATTTGATGAACTCTGGTCATCCTCTACCCTTGGGAGTTTCCCCACCTGCACACTATTCACGATTGCAACACCAGATGCAACAACAACAACATCAACAACAGCATCTGGGGTCCTCGACAGCAGCGCCTGCTGTTGTTGCCCAACGTGTATTGTCGGCAACTCATGGACAAGGCCAGAGGGCTTCTAGGTGGGTTTGGTAGAGACTTGCAGTGTGAGGGGAAAATTCGGTGATAATATTAAAATTTTGGAGAATTTTCGTTGATTTCGAGGGTACACTTACGTAGTTAGTGAGAAAAATACTGAGCTCAGCTGAAGAGTGCGAAAATATAGTCCTACTCCAACACTGTATAGGAAACTCTTCTGAGCTCGGCTGAGGAAAGCGAACATATATTCCTACTCCAACACTGTATAGGAAACTCTTCTGAGCTCAGCTGAGGAAAGCGATTACATATATTCCTACTCCAACACTGTATAGGAAACTCCTGAGCTCAGCTGAGGAAAGCGAACATATATTCCTACTCCAACACTGTATAGGAAACTCCTGAGCTCAGTAGCTGAGGAAAGCGAACATATATTCCTACTCCAACACGGTATAGGAGACTCCTGAGCTCAGTAGCTGAGGAAAGCGAACATATATTCCTACTCCAACACTGTATAGGAAACTCCTGAGCTCAGTAGCTGAGGAAAGCGAACATATATTCCTACTCCAACACTGGCCCTATAGTAAACTTGTGTGAAGTGTTAAAGCGAAGAACTGTGTCGGAATATATGTTTGGTTTTCTCGGCTGAGCTTAGGAGTATATATACGAATTTATGTGAAAATGTAGAGGAATCAGTGAGAAAATTCCCACCCAAAATTTCCCCTACGTTATGAACGATGTGCACATTTTTCCTTCACACTGTGTATTTCAGCCATACTCTGGTTCACGGGAGTCCCGGGGGGACGGACACTGGTAGAACTCATGATATGATGTATGCCACGAAGGGTGAGTTCATGGTATGAGTACTATTCATAATATTATCAAATATATAGAAAATCATATGTATAATATATATTGAAAATATATTAATATTATAATATATATCATATATTTTTATAATAAAAAATCAAATATATATACTACTACTCATTGGGTAGTAGTATATATATTTGATTTTCTCAACTGAGTTTGTGATTTTTATCGCTACATTATGAAAATTCACGAAAAATTTTGGGTAGAAGTGCGTGGATTTTCACCAAAGCATGTAGTTGAACAACAGCAAATATTCTCACGATGAGTAGTATAGGACTGAGTTGAAGAGTTAGAAGTGTAAAGGAACCAGCAAGAATTTCCATATCGTCACCAAAACATGTGGAGTTTCTGTTGCCGCACGGGTACAGTAGGTTCTCATCATCATTATCACCAACAACAACAAGCAGCGGCAGGCGTGGGTCTATACGGATCAAAGTCTGGGCAGAATCGTCCTGTAGGAAAATGTTAAGGAGGAGTGGTATGGCGGTTTTGAAATAGGGAGGGGACGCGCCTCGTGGACTACAAAGTGCGACGCAGTCGAGAAGTCACCAAGTGTATCAGTCGCCCTCTCCGGGGGTCAGCGTTCATAGTAGCGGAAGTCACGGTATTGGGAATAATATTTTGGGGGTACCGATGGATGCATTTCAGGGCAATATGGGCAACGCCAGGGTGGCATGGGAGCGTCCTCCATGCTTCAGCAAGTAATAGTAGTAGTGTTGGTTGGTTTAGCGGAGCGAAGCGATTTTTGAATGGTACTTTTTCGTTTTTTCAGGCTAGTGGTCAGGGACGAGTGCATATGCATATCGCGGCCCATCATAGGCGTCTGGGAGGGAATAATCGGGATAGGGTCTCACCGTTTAGTCAGCATGTGATCTATATGGCCTACTACTACTACTACTATCTGTGCTACAGTCCTCGTGCTCGAGTGACAGCTTCGACGATCCAGCGTTCGCTAGCGTCCCCTCGCATGAACTTAGTTATATGCCACCTGCGGGTTCCGAATGGTAGTAGTCTACCAATGGGTATGGGCGCATTGCCGTATAGGTGTCCATTGGTGAGCGGCACTAATACTCCTCTGCAACCATCAGCAGGGGTACCTGTATCGTCGTATGCTTATGCTCAGCAAGAACTAGGTGGGCTGATGGTGACACCTATCGTCGTGTCACCACTTGGTAGGTACTAGTAGGCGTCACCCTCTGGACCCGAGTCCTCTGAGATCGTCTTCAAATCCTAGTGATGTGAGCTCCCCGATTCAACACCAACAACAGCAGCATGGGAGCATGCCTTTCCCGACTGACGACGGCACTGATCTTGGTATCTACATACAGGAACAACTACAACATATAAGTGCTGATTCTGAATGACTAGTTGCATGGTGTGACGAGGTTCTGCACTTAGGTCCTGCTAGAGGTAACTCAGGAGTTGATGAATCACTCGGTGGTGGCCGACAGGGTAAGTGTCTGTTTGGAACTATTCGTCGAGATTTTGGTATGCAAAACTGATCATAATGGTCATGTAGGCAGTAGTAACCTCCTTGGTGGGCAAAGGACCGGGCGTCTGGGCAGCGACACACCGGTAGGACTGCAAGGAAAGGAGAATGGTGAAGGTAGAGTTCGGCAAGGTAAGGTAGGCAGTCGAGTTTTTTGTTTGTAGTACCCGAGCACCGATTGAGAGAGTGACTTCCATCATAATTCGATATCATGCATTGATCAGTGAAAATGGGCAACGACCTTTTCCGACCATTTGCGGGGGTTGTGTTGTCAGTAGTGGTGAACTATCGATTTTTGAGAGGAGTTCAAAATGGTTGGAAAGGCCTTGATTTATAGAGGATAGTAATGATGTTAGTTCGCAAGTCGCGGACATTACCGCAGTTGCGGCACTCTGGTGGTAATGCGAAAATATCACAGCCACGTTACCACGGAGGGTCAAAACGGAGTGAAATGAATAACAATATGTATACGATGTTGGAACAGCGCAGTTGTGCAAGTGGGATGTTGGAAAGCTCCTGTAGGGGTTATCCACGTTCAGAAGGATTCACTTGGTGCTAATCGTACTATCTGGGGGCTGTTGAAGAACTGATGATATCATCACATAGCAGACAACTCCTTTGACGACCCTTGCTCGCTAAGCTTACTGGTGCAGACTGTACACAATTGCAAACTACTGTTGTTGCGTGATTACAGTTCGTCCGAGATACGACATTTACTAGCATTATTTTGACAACGAAATTGAACTCACTGACATGTATAAAATTCTTAGGGTAAAACCGTCACATACTCCGGCGCTTCGGACCTCGGAAATTGGGAAGTGATTATTTCAGTAAATTTGTTCTGCCGCGAGGCTTGCGTTCCGACTAGTAACTTTTTTACACAACGTCGCAGTGGGAAGAGATTGTTGAAAACTCACATACATGCGGAAACGAAACGTTGGTTGCAAATACCAGCGCACTGCGCCACAACAAGCTTAGTATCGCGACTATCAATAACGCCATCGTCTCGAATGAGTGCAGTATCTATAATGGGAATAGTAAACCACATAAGGAGCCAATACTGACCTTTGAAGGCGTTAACGACATCTGGCCATTGAAAACGAAATGTGAAATCCAAGCAGCTCGCTGTGGGAGACTGTGGTAGGAGCATCTACAGGCGAGAGTCCAGGTATATGATTCGACAGCTTGTCTACTTTGTGTGCTTTAAAATGCTTGGCTCCAACTTCGAGAAACTCTTTATTTGTGACAATAGCAACTTTAGGAGTCTTGAATAAGTGCAGTTTGCGGTAGAACTCAGCACTTGCGCGGTCGTCTTCGTTGGTGACCTCTTTGGCGTGAACAACCACAAGGCAATTGTAGCGCAGTCGTGAGTTCTTCTTATTTAACACTTTCAGGAAGCGTACCTGATGATCCAAATCAATGGTTAGGTCTATACGTGAATAACAACAAGTTTATAATGACCTAGAGAATATCACTCGACAACAGCAACAACAACAGCAACAGCAGCAACAACAACGACAACAACAACAGCAACAGCAGCAACAACAACAACAACAACAACAACAACAACAACAGCAGCAGCAGCAGCAGCAACAACAACAAAAACAAAAACAACAACAACAACAACAACAACAAAAACAACAACAACAACAACAACAACCACAACAGCAACAATAACAACAACAACAACCACAACAGCAACAATAACAACAGCAACAACAACAAAAACAGAAAACCTCACACTCCGGGAGGGACTTCTAATACGAGTGATTCAATGAAATTATTTTCTGAAATTTACATACAATTTTCCAAAAATACAATGGAGTTTCACCCGTGATATGAAAACCACTGGTGAAAAATATATTTCACGTCTACTGCATACCGCAAAAATATCGGGTTTTTCACCGAGTATCACGCCACTTCACGTATAACGGGTATAACTTCCAATGTCGACCGTGAACAGGAAATAGAGCTGTTTATGGCATGATATAAACATGTTAATAGTAGACTTTATCAATAGGATATATCTCTCTTTATTAAATATATATAATAATTATCAGGTGTCACCCCTTTCCGGGCATCTTCAGCGGACAACTCGTCCTTGCAGCCAAACATAAAGGCGAGGTGACCACCACCGTCGACCAACTGCCCAAAACCAACGAGGAGAGACTAAAAAGGATGCGATGAGAAACACCAAGGAATTTTTCACCTCACTGTGCCGACACTGGGCATGAACTCTCTGAAACCGTCTTGGCAACCGCCAACCAGCATTTGATCGAGTAACTGATCACATGAATCAATATGATTCGCAGTATAGGGGGAAGAGGAATATGCATACGCTCAACTACATGTGTTGGTG